TTTAAACCGGAATAACTCTGCGAATATCGATGCTACCGGAATGGAATACATATCATTCTGTAGCCAAGAATAAGGCCTTTCTTTCTATCTTAGAAATACCTTAGTAGAAAATTTTTTTACGTTCCGCAAATCGCGAGCGAAGTCGAAAAAACGTAAAAAAACGCGTGAGAATTTCCTGATGTATATATGTACAGTAATATACATACCAATTAAACCATACAAAAAAGATGTTGTTCTTTTCAATTCACTATGATAAGATTCTAATGCATTTGTTGATGTAACTTGTAAAAGAAGAGGAGAATGTTGTCGTGCCCAAAGAGCCCACTTATGAGAATTTTTTGCATAATTTCTTTTGATAAAATTACAAACAGCAGGTACTGAGCATTGTTGAATTGCATTTTGTATAAATTGTTCACACCCAATTTTTGTTCTTTTATGCATTGCTCCAATCATAATTTCTCTAGTTTTTTTTTCATAAATTTTTGTTATCCATGTTCTTACAATATGAACTGTACAAAGAATTATTCTACATTCATTTTCACCTGCTTTTAATCCAGGAAAAACTTTTTTAATACTGTTAGCCTCAATATTACTTTGATCCATAAGTACATATCCAGGCATCCAATTTTTACAAATGTTTCTAATTATTTTTAATGCTTCTGCTATTGTATCACTATCTTCATTACTTACAAAAAAATGTGCACCAACATCCCAACAATTATAAGAGTCTCGAATATATAAAGTAAATAAACGCCAATCATATTTGTTGGTTTTATGTGTTGAATCTATTAATGTTAACCAGCCATAAAGGTGAAGTTTTTTAAGTTGTTCTGGATGTGCAAAAACAATTCCATAGGTAGATTTTTCCAAAATACAATATCGTTCACAATAATATTCTTGATTTTTTAAATATGATATTGTTTCTAAAATATCTGATTCTAATTTAATGCTACCAACTAAATGTATTTCCAAAGAACCACATAATTTATATTTAATATTTGCCACTTCTTTACGTTTTAAATCTTTAACACTTTCACCAAGATCTAATTCATTATTTGCATATTCTTTAACAGCCTTTACAATTGCTACTGGCGGATAATTTTTAATAGCTTCTTGCATAACTAATGTTCTAACAGCTGTAGAACGTTTAAGACGATCACTTTCTATTAATGTATGTGTGTGGTCTGGAGTATTATTGTAACGTTCAATTTGAATTAATTTTTTTGAAATCACACGGGTAACTTTAATTTTTGCATGACAAATATTTGCAGGTCTAATCATTGTTGTTCTTCGTTTTTTAATTGGTATATTTTCTTTTCGTGTACTTGACTCACGATGTTTTGTAAAACGGCAGGCAAATACCTTCCATGAATCACCATTGTTAAGTTTACAAGAGTTAAATTGTGTCCAAACATTTGAAACTAGAGGCCACCAACTATTATCAAACTCTTCCTCTGTAATTTCAAGTGTATTTTTTATATTGAAAAGAAGGGTACGTTTTTCATCTGAAGTAAAGTGGATTGTTTCGTTGCTTGACATTTTGATAAAAAGTAACTTGTAACGTGAAAAAAAATAAAAACAAACGATGTTTTTATTTTTTTTTATTTACATGTTTATTATATTTATTTATTTTGTATATATAAATCGCATATTTTTAAGTAAATATATTAGAATTTTTATCCAATAGAAAATTCTTATACATGTGATACGATCACACTTCCGCCTTAACCCGAAATCACCTCACATGATTCTACTCCGCTTTAGCCTACCCCCTAATGTAGGAAAGCAAGTCGGCCTACCCATCTGTCATATTTAATTTTTTCGTCTAGCTTAGAGAATGTATAATTATTTATCAAGTTATTAGTTATTTTTTTGTGATAATATACATTATTAAATATACTTAACATGTTCGTTGATACTCTTGTAGAAGGAAAACCCCAGTCAAAGCGTTAATTAATACATCCTCGAAATTTAATACTATTAGTAAAAGGTTGTTCAATAAGCTTGAAGAAGATTATGGATTGGAAGGCGTATCTGGTGATGATTTGATAGGTGAAGAAATAAAATGCTTAGATCTACAATTTTGCTATAAAGGAAAGTGGCGAAGCTTAGATGGCACCGAAGTAATAGACTTTCAAATTCGCAAAAATCCATCATTCGATTTGGTACTGAGGCAAGAATGGTTATGGATGCATAAAGTAAAAATTATCTTTGGATTTTCTCCCAGAACCTATGAATACCGTGATAAAATTGTAATAGATAATATGAGTATCCCATTGATCGAAGGAGATGGCAGGCCCATGGACGACTCGAAGAGTCATAAAACCAGCTCTGGTAAAAATAACTTATCTAATTTAGCGAAGTCTAAAGCTGGTCTAATTAAGGATGAGATTACGAATATGATCAATAAAATTCTCTCAGATGTTGAAAATAATAAGCACCGAAAAAGGCATCACAAAATATCTCGTAATATACCCCCTGCGCCACCCAGAAGATTAAATGATGATGTACCCAAAAATAACAGAGCTAGCAAGAATAAGAAATATCCTAAAGTAGATTTAAGCGATGGGTGTGGAAAGCTTTCAATCAAAACGTACTTCAATAATATTTGGAAGTCAGTCCATTCTATAGAAAATGATATATATTATGAGATTTTTAAAAGACTTTCCAATATTGAGAATGAACTGAGGTTTGGAAAGATAGAAGAATTGATATGGCTAAATGATAATGAGTCAGGTCCTTCTAATTCTCCATCACATCAAAATAAGAGCAAGAAAGGTGGAGTCAAGTATTCTACGGATTCGGATACTGACACTTCTGATACAAGCACTTCTTATTCCTCCAATTCAGGTTTGGAAGATGTATGTAAGGTCACAGTTGTAAAAAAAGCAAAAATGCCACAAGAAATAAATTAATCATCTGGTAAGTTTATTAATCGACATATAAAGCACGACTTAGATTAACTATTTTTATGTATTACATCACACGTTTTCATTACCTGTGATCGAAGCATGTGTTTGAAATAACGTGGTTGTTCGTATGACTTAATTCCACTGATCAGCTCAAAAGGGTGACACTATGTGTTAACGTGGTACTAATTGATCAAAATTAATCGTGCACGGGTTAATGACGGCAGAATGACAGACAGGATGAACATTGCTCCGGATAAATTTGTAGAATGAACATTGTTTCGGTATAATTGATTACAAATGCAGTGCAGATAAATATATAGTATGAACACCGATAAAGTTTAACAATACACACGTGTTGAAAATCTCATTTACCCATATACACTTTATTTTGGGGTTTAATAGCGGGCTAGTGTCTTTGACACATAAAGTATTGAAAGGCTACGTTTTATTTTTAGTTTTAATGACTTATCGAACATTCTACAAGCATAGTTATCTTATATCGTCTCTGGAAAGTTCCAGTCTTTGCATGTAATAAATGCTAATCGATAACATTAAAATTGTGATCTATAAATTCCCTATAAAAGATGAATTTTTTTCGTTATTCAATCCTCCTGCAAATTTAAAACCAATAAAGTGAAACAATATAATTCATAAATTTTGCAATTGTCTTTGAATAAAACTATCGAATTCATAACAAAAATTAATCTACTTAGCTTTAATCGACATAAGGTATCTTCGTTTGTGATTGAATGTCCGTACACTCCATGCTTAATTGATGTCTAATCGGATTTTTTTTTCGTGTAGATGTCTTCGATCAACATTTTGGAAATTGCACCTTTTTTGGTCTTCATGTCTGTAATGATGTTCGCTGAGAAGATCCCTGTTCATCTGATTTTAGCTAGCATGTGCTTCGCTATATATATCATCAGGTAACAAATCATTGCGGATCTCAATACACGTGTGAAAAGAATAACCGCAGATCTTACGTCGCGAGATGCCACATTTATTATCGAAAGGCAGAGAATTATGGTGATGGTAAACACTGTTATTGAAACTATTATTGGAATTACCGCCAATTACGAATCTCTTCGTGATCAGATGGACCATTTAACTGAAACGGGTTCCATAGCCACATTAAGATCTGAACAATTTAATATCCCGCCTGAACATATATCCAATTCTTCCCGAAGATCTTCTCACACTTCTTCCAGTGGCTCAAGCCAATTATCCTTTTTCAATATTACCTCAACAACCTGGAACCAATTCAAAATTATTTTTGATAGGATTATGGCAGAAAATAATTATTCTTTTGACGATATGTGTAATATAGTATCTGTTAAAATTCTTGGTCTTGGGGTGGGAAAGATTAGTAAGGAGACGATAAAAAAATTTTATTATAATGATAGCGATATGAGGGGTAGAACATTAAATAAAATAGGTTCTTGGGTAGATAGTAAAAATAACTTAGCTAGTAACACGGAGTAGGGAAAGGAACTCTCATTTTATGGGTTAGGGCTCGAGATGTTTCTCTCTTTAAACGTCCTCTACTCCACGAATAATTCTACAAGGCCGGCCTTTTACATTGTAGTTTATAGTGTTTTAAAAAATAATTTTACAGATATGTGTCAGAGACACTGGGCTATGCCCATTAATAAAGCAATTATTTGTTATTTTTAATTCGTGGTTTCGCAAGTGTTAATAATTGAGTGTGAATCCGATCGTAATTTGCTGAAGGCAGTCATAGAGTTCCAAGGGAGCGACCCCATGTGATCGCGGAAAAATGCTTTATTCATTGTCTAGTTAAAAATTTGTACAAATTGATTATAAGTTTTTTCCTATTCTTCCATAAGATCATCGAGCCATACAGTACTTAAACTGCTTTCTAATATACTACGACGTAATAATTCTTCACCGACCAGTCTTTCCCGATCTGTTAAAAATTTGCGATATTTTCTAGAATCTTCCTTCCTCTCTATTCCACCGCGATAGAACCGTATATCCCTTTCCAAGTCCTCATGAAAACATTCTCTATCCCATCTTTTTTTCTCAGCCTCAGTAATGATCGAAAATTTCTCGGGATCTATTTCATGTTCGATGGCATATTGATAAAGGCGGGTTTTATTTGGACGAGTTGACGAGTTACTGATTTTGTTTGGTACTCTTACTTGAGTTTCCGGTAAGCTCTGTGTGGCAATTATAATTTTCTTTTGATCAATGCGAAAAGGACAGTTAAGAAAATAGTGATCATTTTTACCTAGACAACTCCAATCACCCCATATACCTAAACGTGTATGTACCTCTTTACATATCGGGCATTTAGCTTCTGAGTTAGTATATTTAAAAACATCTCGGTACCATGCATTTGATTTAATATATCTCAAGAAAGGAAATCGTTTTTGCACTGCTTCAATAATCACATCTTTCTCTTCCGGAAACTTAGAAATTTTGATAACACAATCCTGTGAAAGATGATTATCAGCATTATCGATTTGTGGAGATTCAGAAACTTCAGAGTTTATCCAAGGATCGAGTCCAGTTTTTTTCTTATACCTTGTATACAACTTAGAATGAAGTTTATCTGATATGGTGGCTGGCAAATCAGTTAATTTGGAATACCAATCCAGATATTCAGGGGTTAATACTTTATCAGACCTGGCTTGT